ACTCAACTTTTTGAGCTTTTCAAATGCGTTACGTCGCAGTTTTTCTTAGCTACTTGCTAGCTATCAATTTCGGGAAAACTGCTCCAACTAAATTGAAAGGAGGATGGCCTGCACAGCAGGACCACGTTCCTTTTCCATCTGTTGGAGCAGTTTCTGACAATTTCATTGAGAAAATTTTTTTTCGAATAATTTTGTTTTCATCTATCAATATTTCGTAACCTATTGCTAAGGTTTTCATCTATCAATATTTCGTAACCTATTGCTAAGGTTCTGTATCCGACGTGATGATGTCATCATATCAGTGCGGTATACCTGAGAAGGCGATAGCTGTGATTCTTCGCCAGCTCCTCGACGCGCTTTCCTATCTCCATGCTCAACGAATTATACATAGGTATGTTTCGGGTCGAAGAGCTTGGCTACAATTTCAATAGTTGGTGAAAAGTTAATTTAAGGTCGATCCGGGCCAACCACATCTTGATAGACGCTCATGGTGGAGTGCGTCTTACCGGTTTCCGTCTTTCGCGAAGACTCTCATATAACGAAAAGTCAACTACGGATTTTGACAATCATCTTGAGTCATCATTGCTCTGGTTGGCGCCGGAAGTATTGGGACAGGTGAATATAAAGTTTTTTTTTAGGTCGTTTACATCACTTAGTCAACCCTTTTAGGATCTTAGCGGGTATACGAGCAAAGCTGACATCTACAGTGTTGGTGCCACACTGTGCGAGATGGCAAATGGCTTCCCACCTTTTGGGGATATGAATCGGTTGGAGATGCTTTACGAAAAGTCCCGAGGAACTACGCCACGGCTTCTGGACTCAACAACACTGCCGTCATATGAAGGTAGCATAGTTTTTGGACTTCAGCTTAATTAATGGTTTTTTTACAGAACCATCCGAGCATAGTGAACGAACTTTTACCGAGTCTTTCCATAGCATAACTGGCTTGTGTTTGAAGGCAAATCCTGTTAACAGGTACTTTCAGAAGAGCGAGTGTACATGTTATTGATCCCATGGGATCATCTAACATTCCTGCAGTAACTGTTGTGTAAGGGCACTATATTTCTAGGCCAGACGCCACTGCTCTTCTTTCTCATCCATTTTTGAAGAAAACCAAAAAATCACTCTTAGACCTCATGCCCCTTGCTCAAAAGCTGGAACAGGTTCAAAGAGGTGATATTTAAATAAACTGAATAGGTTGACGTGGCTTCT